AATTGAAGGACCACTCATTATCCTTTCCTCAAGTAGCCTCATGCCAAGCTCAGTGGTCCTATTTTATATACCCAGGTGATAAACAATGTTACTAAACAACAAAATCTCCTGTAAACTTCACGGATGAAAGGTTTTCCATCGCTAAAAATGCTAATGCAGGGTTTTTATATTCATTCCGTTCACCATATTTGTTGATAAGAGAATATCTTACCACTATTCATTTCTATGAACAGTTCTCTGATAAGGGCGGGGGTGATGAATTGAGCTTGGAAGGTTCGCTCGCCTTTCTCGACTTCCACTTCAACATTTTGCAGTCAATTAAGAAGTTTTGAGGAGGACCGATTCTATAAGATGACTCCCCTCTTCATCCTCTTCTACTTCATTTCCTTTATCTACCTTTCTTAACACTTTTACTATTACTCTAAAATATATAAGACTACTTTTAAGAAATCTAAGTACTGAAAATCCAAATAAAAAAGTAGGGAACAAACACATACGAAATTTTGGGGGTAAATTAAGTAAATGGTAAATTTTGGGAAATAAGGTGTTCGGCTTATTCCGTAATTTTATATTTTTTTTGGATATGGAAGGATCCTTCCTAAAACTTCCAGAAAATATTTGAGCTGCTAAATGTAGATGCTTCCAGTCGTTCATGAAAATTTCGGATGTTCTCTAGAATATAGAAGAAATAAGATTTTAGGTGCATAGCAGCCTCACGATGATCGCCACTATGGCGTACATCGTCAGAAACTGGGAGTCATATGGTAATGAGTTTCTGAAAGCATTCAACGATAAAAGATATTTGCTAGCTGCACTGAAAGGTTTCAGAAATGGAATTGCGTAAGTGAAAACACTTTTTGAGGCTTGTCATCACACACAGCGGCCTGACGCTATCGATTTGGGAGTTATTGACGAATTACAATCACATTAATTTCAGGTATGGAACTCGAATTCGAGCCCCTCATGCGTTTGTCATGGTTTTCCTATTTGGCGAAGGAACGTGAGTTCGTTTTGATCTAATCCGTAACCAAACAAACACTGACAGTAAGATTACTGATACATTCGGAAACAACTCTCGCCCTCGTGACTATTTTCATATTGATTGTACGCGCAATCAATCAATTAACACTGAAATATACAGAGCTAGTGTGGTAGGGGGGAAGGCATCCGACATAAGGTGATAATCTTCAAAGCAAGCTTTAATGGCTCTCTGAGTTCAAGCGTCCAACTGTGGTTGGTAACTAGGTCGTTCATTTACTCCTAATGTCGAATCACTGTTATTAACTTATCTATTGCGAGAGGTTAAATTTGAGTCAGCTTGAATTACCTTAGCTTTAGACTCTCTCGAGGCTTTCACTCTTCTTCCTCCCTTCGTCCCTTTTCTTTACCACTTCCTCCGCGATTCTCTCACTCTCCATCTGCCTATTATCTGGTGAGATTGCGCTAATTATCCGGTTCACCTTTATCCCATGCTATTCTTATTTAACTTCATTTTGTCTACCCTGAGTTGCTTTATACCGTTTACTTCTCCTCACTCATCCAACAGCGCAGGAGGTTAGACCACCAAGCTTGCCGGCGATCCGGTTTTGTGCTGCTCTTGCCGGCCAATCATAGTATAACTCAGTGGAGTATCTGTGTTTTTTTCATTCTTCATACTCTCTACTTTCATCTTCTAGTCTTAAACTCCTTGCGTTGAGCTCTCTGTAAAGTCTTCATGAACCCCGTTTCCTTCTAGTCTCTCCTTATTTCTCTACGATCGAACACCTTCCTGCAACAGGATTATGTAAAACGAATTCATATTTCAAGTAAGTTCGTTCTATTTATGAATGCTGCTTAGTGCCTTTCTTCAGGTTTTTGGAAAGGCTGCAGACGATCTTTCGTCTAACGAGGATACATGCTATGAATCTTGCAAAGTTCACATTTAGCTACAAGCTTATCACAGCCGCTCTTCAAAAAATGCAAGGTATTTCTCAAGACTGAACCCTAATTATAACTCAATGGGCAGATTCAAATGTTACACTTCAAGGACGATACCATGGGCATGCCTAACCCTAGCTAGGTATAGTGAAAAACCCCTCAAATGATCTTTACACGTGTTCGAATGACTGAAAATCTGCTCTGGCTTGGAGTACTGTATTAGGTGCATGTATTTCAGTGTGTTGGGATTGCAGTCGTTTTGGTAAGCATTGAAATCTGTTCAAACCTACTGTTTGTCACTCTGGAGTCGATTATGTGAAAATACGGTAGTTCTCTTGGCTCCTTACTACAGTGGGATATGTGGAGTGGATACCAAAAGTTTAGGCTTGGCATCTCTTTGACAGTCGTTTGTCAGTCGTTCTCATAAAAGGTGGGGAAGCGCTCATGAATATTCCTCATGAATCTTTATAGACAGTGTTCGGTTGAAAGCCCTGATAGTGTTCGTTAAGGAGGGATTAGTCGAACGTAAATCAATCATATTGCTCAATGTGATCTTTTTCAAACACTTGTATGCCATACACCTACTGAGAACAATTTTTCGTAATTTATGTGATTCTTCCGCAATGTTCAAAATCATTGATACTCTGCAATACTTCTATTCCATTTGATCTTGACTACTTCAGGACGAGCCCAAGAATGGCATGCTTTTGCTGCAGCTTTCATAATGGGTTATTTCGTTTTCGGTGAGGATAATTCTGTAAATATGCAGGTCAGTGATACTCTATTTATCTACCTCTTTTGAAGTAATGCTCTCATTATTCTTGTACTGAGTCCTGTAAGCCTATTGCCAATCATCTCAAATGGAGTAAAAGGGGACTCAGCCCTTATTATTACTATTATTTTTATTACTACTTTTATTATTGATGGTGTAGTGGCAAGTGACGTACTATCACACACGGGTCACTGGTCGAACCCGGAACGATATCCATCTAGACCAACCGGGCCTTTCATCCCTCCGGAGTCGTTTAATTGGTACCAGACTTGTCTGGTAGAATAAAAGCACTGACTCGTACATAACGGCTGGCCACCGCCAGTCTCCTATAGGCCACATACCTTTTTGATACGTCACTTCGTTTCTGAATTAAGTCGCATGAGTGGGGTGTATCCCTCAGACTGGTTCGATTAACGCCGAAGACTTTTGCTTTAGATCCTTAATCATTATCACTATTATTAAAGAAATAGAGCTATCGGAATGGTGTTTTTCCCATTTTACTTCTATATCATTATGGATGACGAAGACGACTTGAATTTTCCAGATAAACTTATATTTGTTGTCAAGGATAACTGTAGGGCTAGCCAAACTCGCCGCCGATAACGACGTCGTACCTCGACCGAGTAAGTCTTCACTTTTGGAAGTTTTTACGGTAGAAATGCTTGATGCTGGNTTGAGCGCTGATTTTCAGACTTTCCCGTGTTCCCACTGTTCGGTGCTCTTGTGTGGGGTATCGTACTGTGGCTATTCGAGCATCATACGAATGTCTTACAAGGAGCTCTTGTGAAGAGCATGACCTATCTGTACAAGGATTCCAACCATTGGACCGATATTCGAAATTTCCTTTTGAGTAACAAATAGTTTTCGCCTTTATTCTCGTTCCGGGTATTCTTACTATACTGCTTTGCTCTGAATAAAATTTTTTGCACGATTATTCTGCACGACAACTTGGTCAATCAATTTTTCACGTTTATTTTATTTGTTCAAATGAAACATATCGCCTACAATACAAGTGAACAGGGGACAAGAGTATCCTTTATCGAGCACAGCGGACTGCACGAGGAGTCGGCTTCTCAACGATGAAACTTCGGATCTAAAGGCACGAGTCGATCGGGTGATCTTGCTTCTGGCCTGAGATAATAAAAATTCATCAAGCGCTGAAGGAACCTTCTCAGCTTTTAAATTTGATAAAGGAGAGAAGTCTGCTGTTACAGCAAAACATGGTGGCTTACTCATTCGGAGTCCTTTCGTCATCTGCACCTCCAGTACACGGTAAAACATATCCCTTATACCTTTCGCCAAGTAAGAACTCCAAGGTATAAAATGGAATATAGTTTCTGCAAAGTAATTGTGCTGTTCGGAACCTTTCATCCTTCTATGGTTCCTTTACTCACTTGTCTAACGCTAGTAGTTTTGCATAGTCAAAAGAGGCCCGCGAGTTCTTCGTTAGCTTGGAGCCATGCATTCGTTGCCACTCGTAGAGAAATATCATTAAAACCAAGGAAAGGAAACCACCGAGAAACGGCTGCAACTGGGCGAGCGCGTTCAGGAGATTTCTGAAATGATTTGCTTACAATATGCCTTTTTTCATGTTCCACAGCACCGCAGAAAATCCGTGGACCAACAAACAATGTCCCTTTCCCGTATGATTTGATGATAGGGAGACCCCGCGATTATGCCCCTAATTCACTGCTCATTGTTTCGATTGAACGATAAAAATCTGCTGGTTATCATTAATATCGACTGATATCAAAAAGCTGTGCACTATCAATATCTACTGATAACCTAGAACTAAGGTCTCAGTCCAGAATATACGCATCAACCTTACAAATTCATGAAGTTGCTCTAGCTGCAGAAGAAGGTTTAGAGATGACTATTTGTTCATTCTTTTTGCAAGTCGATATCGATCACTATCGATCGGAATCACAGAAGCGAGATACTATGTGGTTATGCTATGATCCGTGCTGTCGGTAATATCATGCCAACCCAAATCTTGGGTTTCCTTCTAACTGTTACTACCAACGTTTGCGGTGGTGTTCTGTATCACTACCTTCTTCATTGTTTGGCAGATAGGGTATAGAGCGGAAATCAAAACGGCGCCCCACTACTGATGATAGAAGAATGGCATTGGTATTCCCAAAGGTCGCAATGGACACAACTCATAATTCCGCTGCTTATGACCGTGCCAGAAATAGAAACCAGACCTGAGAACTCACAATAGCAATCCGAAGGAGATGAGCACATATATCGTTGGTCTGAACTTGGCGGCCAAACCTGGCGTTATGGATATGTGTGAACTGCAATGAAAGTCTTTAAAAACATTCGAATGTTGCTCCCTCTGCTTTCTAACTTCCTTGCCATTGTAGATGTAATGTACAAAGGCGTTTGAGCCACTCACGTCTCGCTCCCCTCCGACTCGTCGAGAAGCCGCATGTCTTTTTCGTCGAATTTCAAGTTAACATTTACAGTACTGAAAAAATTTTGCACTTGATTAGTGAAGAACAAGTCAAATCCACTTAATTCAGTGAAATTCATTTGAAACTGTAAAATTACCTGTCAGGAAATTCAATAACATTTTTGACATCTTTAAGGTCTTTGCCCATCGTTGTACTGCATCCGGAGAGTGACGTACTGCCGGCCGTACGCAGGAATATACTACGAAAAGTGAACCATACCCTACTCAAGCACCTAATCTTACTTTCGTTATCTTCACTTTATATCAAGGTGAAAGGGTTTTGAAAGGCTTCCTTTGAACCATTCAACCCTCCGAATCTCTATTAACAAAATTCTAAGGCGATTTTCTTCCATAAGACACTCTCAACCTATTCTTAGCTTAGGAGGTTGAAGATTGAGCTGGAAAACGGTATTGTCAGGGTGCACGGCAGTCCAGTACAGACTGGGAGAACTATCGTCGCTTAGTTGGTTAACGACTACTATGGTCCCATCATCAGTTCAAACACTTCATCTATGTAGTACGCCGCCACCTTGAAGCAAGGTTAGACACCTTAGGTAGAATGGAGCCCCAGGTGCCCTTCAACGTAGCCTGAGAAGGGACCGCGTCTGACTATAGGTTACTATGATGCCATATTCTGTGATAGCAGCCCTGCCTTCGTGATCCACGTTGGTCCATACTCGCTTTGAACATTATTCACTCTATTCTTTATTCATAGATTTAGAGTTTCCTTGAGAATTTATATAAACATAGTTAAGTATTATTGTTTGAGGAAATCGTTCACGTGTAGTGCACGCAGCTGTACTGGCCGTATGATGCGATACAGCCTGATGCACAGGGATTCGCTACCGGTCGTCTCATGAATATTATTCAGTCACTTCCTCAGAAACGAAGTAATTTATCATATTTTTGACGAATACTCATATAATATGAAGTTAAGCAAGAGCATCACAATCAATATAAATAGAACCCGTATGTACATCAATAGATACCTAATACGTACATTCACATAATTAGTGTCTTTTTAAGCTGATTGTCCATCACATTCACTAGTCACTTTACTGTAGTCTTCGACGTCTTGAGCGCTGCAGGACACTATCATATGCAATGACCGGCTGTCACTGATGTCAAGCGCATAGCTGGCGAAAACCATGATCAGAAAGATGTATTCACTGACGGCAATCAAAGGAATGACTGAAAATATTGCAATGAGTCGACAGATGTGTGCAGAAAAAAAACTGGCTGAAATTCACAGAGGTATTAGAGGTATGAAAGATGCCCTAAAAATAGAGAAGAGAATTTTCTGCCATTAATCAGTCCCGTTTCGGTATTCCCTGCATTCGAATACCATATAGAAATGAGGTGAAGTATTCAATGCTTATGTGGCCTAACAATCACATGCGGTGGCAAAACAAGGCAGTGCTTTAATCCTCTCACTCGAATCAGGTTTCAGTTAACCAAACGCAGGGTGCTTGAGGACTTCAACGGCCTGGGCGAGTATCGATTGATCTGATTCCTAGACTCTCCAATCGCCACTAAACACTTCCTTCCTTATGAATGACGTGACCAATGTCCAAGGAACTATAATGTTTTCTTATGCAAAATTGGGAGAGCCGTTGAAGGAGGAATTGCAGGCATTGTTCGTAGAGAAATAGGTTCATCAGGATTAGTACTGTACCTTTCTGATCACAATTCATCGATTTGGAGACATTATTGGCATTCTGAAGAATATGCGAAGCAACACAGCCTGTTATGAAGCCAAATGCTAGTCGTGCCACTCGGGACCGGTTACACTCCTGAAACACCGGTAGGCGATATTATTCGACAGATATTATCAAGATAGAGTTAGGACAGTGAACGGAAGCTCCGCTACATAGGCATTATCCAAGAACCGAACCCTCACTACTGGCATCCAAAGAAAGCTGGTATTTCTACCATCTGGATGTACAAAATCCCTAGGCTCGCCCGATAGGACAGAAACTCCATCTTGGGACACATTTGCATTTTGTAAATCACAGTTGAAAAGGATTATATATTGAAGTCCTACAGCTGTCATAGTTGGGGGTGGGAGGGGGGTTGGCAGAAGCCGGGCTCATGCACATAGAGCCGAATATGGAAAGCCTCAACTCTCTTCCCTTCCTGCGTTTTGATGTTGTCGACCGGATTGAGGAAGATGAGCTGTGAGATGGCTTGTTAGATTTATGAAGAGCTTGCGGAGGGCGTAAAACCTAGGTACAGACTCTCACAAGAAAAGGAATGGATTAGGTGTTAAGTGCCTAGTGAACTGGAAAGTGTTTCGATCTGTGGATCGTGTTTGCAATAGCGAAACCTCAATCCACTGCCAANAGCTGAATGAAACCTTTATCTGGATGAAATTCCCGCTGAGCATCTTGAGCACAAACGTTATCAACATCAATGCCGATAGAATTGGGATCATGTAGAGTACTGAAATAGGTAGTTATAAAAGGGAGAAAGTTTATGGACAAGTTCATCGTAATCCGCTCCCGAAGATCCACAATTTGCTGATTAATTATCGACATATGTCGTTATCACTCAAAATCGTTGTGTTCCAAATATATTCATAAAGAGAAAAACTTACAGTGTTCGTCTTGCGAGGTATGAATGGAGTAGTAGAGGAACATAGAAACGAGGAAGAGGAATTCGTTGAGGAGTAGGTATGGCGCAGCCTGGATGGCTGTTGTAGACGTCCCTAGCACCGTTTTACATTGAATTGCTGCATGAAGAAGTAGAAGACGATACGTGATGCTGATCAGGACAGCTATTCGAATCGGTAGCTGCATAAATAGAGGATTAGCACTTTGTGACAGGAGTCCAGTCCTAGGCATAACTTTTTTTTTCAAAAAAACCCTTGACTATCTATTCACCTCCTATACTTTCTCTCCACTCTGCCGCCCATTCGCGTACGCGAGCGATTGCGACGCGGCTATCTGGAGCAGATAGTTAGCCGCGTTGCGACCGCGCGCTCACACGTTTGGCGTGATTTCGGACGTTCCTCTCTCATTATTGACCTTTGACTTATAACAATTCCTGAGAGACATTTCCTTTTGTTTTTTTCAACCTCCGACTATCTCAAAAAACGAACTGTAGTTTTGACAAGTTTGCATAACAGTAGCTTACCTGCACTTCTATGAATAACTGTGAGGCACGGTACAGTGATGACATCCATTCCTCTTCCGGTATCTCTTCCCGATTCGGAAAATAATAAGCACTTTAGACAGGATTGATGGAAATCTCTCACAATACAAAAAGCTTATTACTTTCTTTATTGATGACTGGACCCCTATAGCTTTGTCTACTTTGTCTTTCTTTCTGAGGTAAGCTATGGGAACAGAAAAACTAATTGTTCGCCAAATTTAACCGATCATCCTTTGGATAAAGCTCTGAGATCACCTGAAGAGAGAGGTTTCGATCCCAACGTATTGCGTTTAAATTAGAGAGCATGCCTTCTGAAGGGCGATGAAAGCTGAGCCATTCCAAATGGAACGGATCGGAACTCAAATCAAGCTGATTGTGGCCGATAAACTGTCACGCAGAACGAGTGATTGCTACGAAATCGGAATCGACTGTTAGGAGAGGTCCAGGCTGAGTTTCGAGTAATTGCAATGTCCTTGTTTTAGGTCTCATGAAGAAGGTACGGAATTCAGGTAGTCTTGCCAAGACTGAATACTACTGGTTCTATTGGACATTTCCAAATCCCTACAGTGAATGATTTTTAAACTCAAACGGTTCTCGTCGTAAATCAGCTGCAATTCCCGTAACAAGCCGCGAAAACTGCCTTGGTAAGTTCGGGCGTCTGCGGGCCAAACATCAAGATCAAACGATGACTCAATATTGTCTTTTAAAAGCGTCCTACCACGAATTTGATTGACGGAAGCATTTTTAGGGTAATATTAGGGATGAATACGTAGTCAAATATGTTAGTGAGAAACCTCTGTTCCCTTCTATCCGAAACGGCTTGGTAATTTGTCAAAAGAGGGGGATCTACTGGTGCCTAGAAGAGTACTGCAGATTTTGTAAGTGGGGACGTGGTGAAAGACACTATATTTTAACACGGCTCTCTACGTTTTATCCAGTTAAGCTGCTCTCTGTAATTCAAGCCAGAGAAATTAGGATACAAAGTGGAATTCAAATCTAATCTGGGAATGAATTTTATTTCAAATGAACATGATTGTGCCTCAAGTGCACTGCATCTTTGCGACATCCTGCGACAAAAAGTAAATATGACTAACGTAGACAGGTCGCAATCACTGAAACCAAGGCTTACCCAGCAGAAGTTATTGAAGGAATATCCAAAATCGTATCGATATTTTCCTTCGAAAATATTGGAGTACCACGAGTCAATGACCGTAGCATCAATGATACCGGTTTGCTCATCCTTGTGATAGTAATAATATGAACCATTCCGGAGCATCTGAAAGTTAGCGATACAAGGCAATCACTCATACTCAAACTGGTGATCACTAGGCAAGAGGTGTGGGAAGGAAGGGAGTTGGTGAGGGGGAGTCCCAGAGAGCTAGAAAAGGGCTTAATATTGGGTCTAGCAAGGCGGCAATAGTGACAGGAAGACCGGTTCCAGTGCTCTGCATGGCATAATAGAAATGGCCCAATCCCAGGTTATAGGCTTTTCAATGTTTATGCCGGATATCGTGAAGTAGACCCTGCTTCAAAAGTTCAATCCAAGGATAACTAGCGGTCCCATGCACCGCTGCGATCCCTTGTACACTCAGTAACAACACTTGCTTCAACTCACCTCAATATTCTCGAGAAGTGTCTGGGTGAGTGTGTCGTTGTTCCCTTCCCACGGTTCGATTTTGTCGTTCACATTCACCAATGCCACAGCTGCCAAGAGAAGTGACGGAATGAAAATACCAGCGAAACCGACTTTAGCTACGTTAATTGAGATCGTAGCGTAGGCTTCCTCATCGTCAGCAGAGAGTCGGCTAAATTTCGCAGAATCCAACATTGAGTCTGAAACTCAGACCATTCAACTCGATTCTCAATTAATCAATCATCGATCATCAACTGAAGATAGATATAGAACAGAGAAAAAGCTGCTGTAGTCAATGGTTCTTGGGCAATGGGGCTTTCAGGATTCAGTGCTGTGTTAAGCCCACACCCACAAGATGAAGTGAAGTAGTGGAGAATCTATACAGAAGACTTCTGGACTTTTTTTGTTCCAAAAGGGTTTGCTCAGTCGTCTATAGGCTTTTTCGGAGAGAAAAAAGAAAAAAGAAGAGCCATAAGACCTTCCTGAAGAAAAACGAAGTCATAAGAGGAAATGGGTGCTTCAAGGAATGCGTAGACGACCATCTCTCAAAAGGTACGGGAATAACCAAGAGCTTCCAGCGCTTTCGCTGCCGGGACAAGCATATGAAGCCGCAGTTACGACACGAGAAATCATATATGAAACAGATCGGATATTAGTCAGGGAGTGGTCATACCACCACATGGTCGCTATCCAGCCGGAAATGTGGTCTGGCGACTAGTAAGCAGTTTTCGGCAGATGTAATGCGATTGAAGGCAAGGTGCTGAGTTCTCAGACTGAAACCACCGTGGCTAGGATTGTCACAAGCTTCGATAACGATAACCATGATAATTGGAAACGTCCCATAAAAGGAATGGCTTTGAGCTGGTTCCAAGCTTTTTTGATTACTTAAAAAATCACGTCAAAATTGATGGTTGACTCTTCTCAACGGAGCTGCGGAAAAGCTTTTACCCTTTATACGTTATTATATTATTGGGACCAATAGTGAGATATCCCTTTCCCTTTCCTAGAAACGGATTCCAGTAAGCCTGAGCTTAGGTCGGCACAAATTCCTCTATCAAGACGCAGGTAAAACTGAACAAATGTTGCGGACTTTAGACTTTGCTCTATGAGGGATTCGGGAGTTCATGAGAGGCAGGACATCAGACTTCTACCACCTCGAATCACAAAAGTACTCAGTTCTACCAAGAGAAAAGCCGGAAAGTAAAGAAGAATATCGCAAGTAAAAGGGTGGAAGTACGTAGAAGTACTGCAACTGAAAGATGCAAAAAACGACAAAGTCTTAGCGCTCACCAATCCCATGTTGGGATTCTCTACGCGTATGATTGCTATTTGGAACCGTAGAGCATTTAAATGCACATATGGCCTACCCATTATACTGGGAATCTTGGCCGGTTCTTCTGTCCTCCAAACTAGTTCCGGTGACAGCCAAGTTGCCTTAGCATAACAGAACTTTGATGACACCAGTACTTCTTGACCAAGACATGTTTAAAAGCAATCAGTCCAGAAACTGATAGTTGTTATTATTCGATAGAAGTTTGTTTCGAAAACAGAACAGGTCTTCAGATTTGAGATTACAGTGGATCTGATTGAGCCTTGACTGCATACCTCATTTTGAGGCGTTTCTAATTTACCTTCAGAGAAGTGCTGCTAAGGGGAAGGTGTGATCAATCGCGATTCCAGTCGTAAAAGGATTCTCAAGGATTTCCAACTCCGAACATATTCGTATCAGACTGGAAGGGGTAAGGGGTGGGGGGTCCTGGAATAGATACAGTCAGGGATTGCTCGAGAGCGCTCTAGCAACGGCTCTATTGGGTCGAGCATTTAGAGTGCTTTCGAGGCTTCATGAAGAAGTTGTCGTGAAGCTCTGAAGATTATTGTGTAAGGACTGATTTTGCAGAAAAAATTATCATTAGAAGGCATTTTCTTTTTTCATCAAGAAGCGGTGTAAAGGTATGATGATATTGTGGCATCTAAAAGTACTGATCATTTCTTTCAGCTTATCTGGAAAGTCGGTGCACTTCATAGACAAAACACTAGTAGGGAAAGAGTAGTCCACTTCGGAGCTTCGGCCACTCATTCTACGCGTTCTACGCTTCAGGAGACGATACGATAGCAATAAATTATTTAGACGCCTCACTGAGGGAAACTGAATGGTTACTGCACAATTCGGCGGTTGTTTATTGTAAACTGGAAATCATAGGAGAAGAAGACCCACCATTCTCAATCATAGGAACACATGCATAACATAATCGGAATCATAGAAAAACATTATTGAAACCAAGCTGATCACTCCAAAAATGAAGGCTGAAGATGCTATGAAGATCCATTCGGAGACCTCGGGAACCTAAGAAAGAAGGAGCCGGTTGGATTCCAAAAGCCTATGAATATTGCATAAGGCTGCTATGGTCTGAAGCACAATAAAGGCTAGTCGGAAAAACTGGCTTCCGCACGGCTGATAAACGTGTATCATCAACTGAAACGCACTCAAACGTCATTGCGTGACGGAAATATCCCTTATAGGCCTACAGTAGACCCGTATTGACCTCTCATTTGAGGATATTTACCCCGCTTTCAGAGTTCTGTAGATAGAATTCAAAACCCTAATTTGCCCTTCATATCACACGTTCCCAACAAGTCAGGTCCAAGTTATCTCTCAATCTAAATCATTCCCTCAAATTCTTCAAAAAATAAAGCAGTTGGGTGAAGACCAAAAAGAGCCTGCGCTACTATTCTGTAGGTAATCGAGGGTTGTCCAGCAAATCTTGACAAGTTCTCAGGTGAAGCAATAGGCACAGGCGTTCTAGATAGTGATTGCATGATGTTCAGAATCAGTTCGGCTAGGTGAACCGAATTAACATTTGACTGTCTCACTCGAATATAAAGTAATTAAAGTTCCATGGCACATTCCGGAAACTTATAGATAAGAATATGAAAGGAAGAACGGTTGTACAAAATCGCGATGCTAAATATAGGATGAGACAACCACTCAATAAAATGAAATGTCATTTAATGCCTTACTCGTGTAGTATGATCAAAAAGCCCAATGAATAGGAATGAAATGAAAATAATCAAATGAATTGTGATATAGGCGAAAAATAAGAAGGTGACAATTACGTAAATAAATAAATAAAACTATAAATAAACATGAATAGAAGCAAAGAATACATCTATAAAGCAAATAACCGAATAAAAACTGAAATAAGGATTAATAAGGAACTAAAAAAAGTCTTTGGCATTAATCAGTCCCGTTTCTGGGATGCGCCACTACATTTGACTTTCATTCGGAATCGTCCTAGCGTTTTGAAGCTGATGTGGCCAATACAGTGACTTGTGGTTATGAGTCAGTGCTTTCATCGCTCCAGACGAACTCGGTATCAAGTTAGATAACCCGGAGAGACTTGAGGCTTGGATTTTCTGCTGGTGTATCATTTCTGGCCTTGATCCCTGAGCTATGATATGGGCCCCATTCCTTCCCACCACCTCTAACCATATAATCAGATGTTCCCATAGCAATAATAATGGAAACAATTGGATTCCAATACGTTCTAAGATGGTTGTTATGGGCCAATCAAACTCTATAGATGTTCACTTTTAAAACACAGATCAGACAATGTCTAAGAATCGCTAAGCGAACGAATCCTAGGGAATGACAAAACGATATTAAACCCAGTTCATCCATAACTTGTCAGAAATTCCTCCGTCTTTGGGGTGAACTGGGCGGATATTGCGGATATGTGACGAACGGATGCCCTTCTTTAACCGTAAGCGGATTTGAGTCATTCAAATTCATGGTCACCACTCAGGTGCGCGAAAATTTGTAAGTACCCAGAGAATCGCTAATGTTCCAGACAAAATTGCGGTGGCCTTTATTCACTAAATGAAGGGGTGCAAGGCTGTCAAGGGTGGAATAGTTTTTTTTAGGAAACTGCTCACTAATCCTTATTGGATCAATCGTAGAGAGATAAGAGAAAGAACGCTTCGGGAGTCTCCAGAGTATCACAGGTTTTTGAAACCACGGCTTATCTTTGTCACTTCTGCGAATCTAGTAGCAATTTACAGCACATAATCCTTAAAATCAGAGGTATATGCGAGTGGGCGGGGTCTGTGAGGTGAACCAGATAAGAGTCGATAGTATAAATCACTAACGCATTCCTCAACATTGAGAGCGTCATGGGTAACGACATTGAACGGCATTGGATCAGCAGAGAAGAGGTACTGCGAGAGGGCCTGATATAACTAATGGAATTTGAGTAACTTATCATAGCCATATTTCTCAAAAAAAAAACTTCGCTGAAAAGGGGTTTATTTATTCATTTATTTTCATACGTCTAAACGACCGACTGCCAACCCAAACATGGGCGTAGTGAATTAGCGAAAGCAAGGTCGGGAAAAGAAGAAGGGCAAAGAATGAAAGGAACTGACAAAAAAAAACACAAAATACTGCAGGATCAACAAGATGTAGGCGTTGGATAATATCAGGGTAGCCCAACAAAATCTTAAAATAGTAATTTAAAGCGGGTAGCTACTGACAAAACAAACGCGAGTGTTACACAAAAGGCCACAGTAAGGCAACATGATCAGGAGGCAGTATCAGTATAGGGGGAGTTCAAAAATAGCTAAAAATTGGTAAACAAGATCATCAATTGCGATGGTGTATGAACAATGAAGAAACTCAGGTAATGTAGGCGATTTGGTTTTTGTCGAATGTGAAGTGAAATCTTGCGACAAATCGTTGCCCTCTTTTCGTTCGTTCAAATTCGACCTCATGAAAGGACACACTCATCGCCTTTCAATGCGCCATTCACCCCCGCGCCCCTGATTTCACCCTTTTGTACACTCTCGCCTAAAAACCAGTCATTTCACGAATATAGAGAAATCAGAATACCTGAAATCGGAAGCGAAGCTAAGGGACAGCCCTCAGGGATGAATTAATCGTTACTGGAATGAAGTCATCAAATGTTAAGCCAATGAAGTAACCGTATACCGCTGCAGTACCTCCATTGGCTCAGTAGCATCTGGAATGGCGAAATACACTCGTCGCTTCTCTCGACGATGATACCGTATCGTCGCAGAATCCGCTGTTCTCGCCTTCCTCCTACCTATCTCCACATCTTCTCCGTGCCTTTAGCTTCAACAAACTCCTCCTTGATCACCTCTCGCCACCTCATCTTTTTGGCTGCTCGTGGTTGCATTTTTTGAGCCTCGAGCCCATTCCCTCCTTTATCGGAAGATTCTGTGGCCTTCTGTACCATCACAGACGCTGACCTCCTGCTTCCAGCTGGAAAGGGGTTGTTTGCATGACTGCACTGACGCTTTTTTCCAATCCGGTCCAGTCGTATTCAGCCTAAGCCCCATTTAAGCACCTTTATATCAGCTGAGTGAAGTTGCCTTTACTCTACGCTTAGCTCTTGAAGACGGTTGGAACTATTTGGGTATCCTGACTGTTTTAGGTCACAGACATCCTTGCCTTCAAAGAACAATGAAGTGTCCCACCAACGAAGTTGTCACAGAAAATCTAACCCCTATCCATGTCCTTCAAGCAAGGCTTTTGCTGGAGAATCCATTCCACAAATATTTGAGGATCCTTTCACGAATCCATGAAGCGATGTCGTTAATTGTGGCAGAATTATGTTCATTAAACAAAATCGGCTCGACTTTTCCATTAATGTGAATGTCCGCTAATGAATGAGAGCTGATCGTTCGATATAGGTCTAATTCAAAAGCTTCTTGTCGCTGAACCGGTACTCATATTGCATTGGTCATCTTCAAATCTGATCACTAAATAGATTACGTTTATGAGTCTATAGTGGATGATAGGAGCCCACTGGATGATCACTTTCAGGGTGGGCTTTCCTTCCATTCCTGAACAAATCTGATTCTTTTGGCCAATTTCGCCCAGAGATTCTTCGTTTATGTCAGTTTTTATGAACATAGCTTCTATTGCGGAAGTTCCATGCAAGATCTTCGGCATGCCTCATGGTTCCATTTCACTCAGACTCCCGCCCATTCTCGTCTGAGCCCATCAGTAGTTCCTCCTCTTCGGGAATGGTTCGAGCCGCTGACAACTCTGTTCGGCTCTTCGCTATGATATTGGCTAGCTCTCTCTTGATTCTCGTACCAACTGCCCTACTTTAAATTGAACGGGATGATTGCCATCTTTCTGTTTTTCATACTTATTTGTGTGCGAACACGCTGTAATGTGACCACAGTGCTTGTCACCCCATACGACCTCGCAGTTGAGTGGGGTTATTTCAGTAAGAGAACTGGCTGCCCTTTTGAGTTCTGCCAAGAACTGGGCCACACACAGACTCCCTCAGAATTTGTCAGGAGAGGAGCACAAAGACATCGTGAATTCAAGGAAGCTAGAGTGCTTGGGTCGAAGGGGTATGTGGGTGAGGGAAAACAGAACAATCTTCCCGCGTGACATTCACTTTTGATTTTGAGAAGGATTGGAGTTCCCCTTTCTAATCCACTAGGGATTCTATGTTGATAGTGACGGAAATGTTCCAAAGAGACATTATCACTGAATTACCATCAATTCATAGTCCTAATGCGCATTTTTCTTTCAGACTGGTTCTCTCCCTCTGATGCCGTTGGTTAGTCGCCTCGGTGTCTATCGGATTCTAGCACTTTCCATTACTTTTATTTCATTATGTACCGCTTTATCGGCATGTATTAGCCTTCCACTAGCTTATATCTACGCCAATCATGTACAAAATTATTTGATGAACGAATTCTCCATATGCAAAACGACAGCAAGAAATCTCTTGAAGGAAATCGTCGACATGAAAATTTCATTGCGTGAGTTACCGACTTTTCTATCCGTATCAGTTGTACTTGACGTCACTACATCTTACTAAGGCGTTCGAAGTCGACGCAACTCGAGTCTTGAAGAGGTTCCTGCTTCCGTATCCGAAAAAAATCAATGTGATGATAGTTGCTGCATTCCCGGACCACCTGGTCCAGCCGGTCCTGCTGGCCGACCGGGACGACCGGGAAAACCAGGTGCCAACGGTATAAATGGTGATCCCGGCCGCGTGCTCATGGCACCACTTTTGCTTGTCACTTCAGACTTTTGTAATAAATGCAGTGCGGGACCTCCTGGAGAAAAAGTTTGTTGGGCTTTGAGTGCAGTTCTCACTTTTCCTAGTCATCACATCAAATAAACGTTTAGGGAGAACGCGGTCCACCTGGAGAACCTGGTCTTCCAGGAAAGCAAGGTAGAGCAGGAATTCCTGGAAAACCTGGGCTAAAAGGTCAGCAAGGACCAATGGGAGCACCTGGTCTGCCAGGCATGCCAGGAATTCCTGGACTAGCAGGTAACTTCGTCGTCCAATCAAGAGCTTACAATTATTACCTAATTCATACTTCCAGGTACTTCTTGCGAAGCAGGGCTGTTAGAATACGGGGAACCAGGTCCCATAGGTGAGCCTGGCCCTCCAGGACCACGAGGGCCTCCTGGACGACCAGGCCTGGACGGAAATATAGGTAACCGTTGTTTGGATAGCTTCTTATTATAGTTATACTGAATTTGGGGTAGCATGTGTCCATGATCCCATTTTGAGAAATGGTCATCCACCTAAGGCCCTGGATAATACGCTCGGCCCACTCACAACGATCGGTTTAGTGGCACGTGGCGCACTCCACACACTCTTGGTCACGGATTCGAATCTCGAATCGATATTCGCATAGGAAAACCGATCATTCCATCCCCTCGGGGTTGTTCAATTGGTACCAGACTCGTCTGAGAGGATAAAAGCACTAACTTGTACATCGGCTGGCCCCGCAAGCCAGTGTACAGGCTACATAGGCATTCAACACACCACCACGATTCTGAGTGGAAGTCGAATGCGTGAGCGCTGATCCCTCGGACTGGATTGATAAACGCCCCAAGATTTTATTTGTTACTTATCATTTATATTGGATTTGTTTCCTTCCAACTTAGCAACCCTTCAAAGATGCTGACTTCTGCCAAGCTATGAGCCTTAGCACCAAGGCTTCGTACGTTTAGTAATTATCGAATTGTTGAAATGTTGCCAACGAAAATATTTATTTTCGAAATTCGATATAAAAATTAATCAACAGACGTTGAATGAAACGATCAATAAAGTTCAAAATACAATTTCTCCATTACATCTTCAAAGTTGAACTGCTCCCAAGATTCTCTTCAAAGATTTCTGCAGAAGAGGCCTGAAATATTGGAGTTCTTATCGATTTGTTTGCTTCCTACGTTGAAGCCTTGAACGTAATGATAAAATTTATAAAGTTAAGTAAGCATAACTGTCTGGCAATGAAGCCTGTAATGATCCTTTCCGTTCAGCATTGAACTAGCCACCTAACCCACAACAAAACCACATTTTGAGGCTCCTTTTGTGAAGGTTATCCGAGTTTTTTGAATTTCTTGACTTGTGGATACCCTCGAATCATGAGAGATGAGGGATTTTCACAACTAACATATCATATTCTCCATTGGAAACATTTCTTTTGGGAATATATTCAGAACGAACTAAATTGAGATCAAACTGAAGCTTGAGATCGAAGGGGGGATCGACCTAGCCATATACAAAGCACATCGAGAAACCGTTTACAGTTGGCATTTTATGTACTAATAAGAAAGAGACTGTAATACCTAGGCTAATCCGGTTTTTCAGGAGATGCCGGTCCTAAGGGACCCCCTGGCGAGGATGGTCCGCCTGGCTTACCCGGCAGACCAGGCTTACCAGGCCCTCCTGGGCCACGTGGTCGAAAAGGCGAAAAAGGTATCTGCCCGAAATACTGTGCACTGGACGGCGGAGTATTTTTTGAGGACACAGAACAGCAAAAGCGATGAACGGTCTCTTGGGAAGTGATTGTTTTACAGAAGTGTTTTTCTCTTTGCAAAAAGAATTAATAAAGTAAGAAATTATGATTGTCGAATAAATATTTTTTTAGTAATTTGATGATTGCCATTCGAAACTACTATGCAATTTTGTTTACTTTTTAGAAGAAAGGGTAAGTCGCTCATACATGTATGTTGACTTCGTCTCGGTATTCTGCTTCCGACGAATCGCCTTAGTTCTGAAACATGAGGATGAGTTCGTTTGTAGAGCTTTCAGAATCTCTGGGATGGAGAGAAGCCGGTTCACCGGCACACGCACGCAGTCATAAACTGACCTTCAGATATCGCTTCTACTTCTCAATACTAGAAATTCATTGAACCCCTCAATTTAGGGGTCCAATCGGGAAACGAGAAATCAATTCGGAGCGGTAATGCCGTGAAGACATTATTTNTTTATCTTCAACAGGACCATGAACTTCTCGAAGATGAGCACAATCCACGGATTCCTTCGCCACTTGAAGCTTACCTTTGACTCTATAGGACACTTGTGCAATGCCGCCAGGAAAGGTGCCTATCCCCGAGGTACCGAAAATGAGCAAGGATCCAAAGTCTACTCTGGCTTCTCATTCAGTCGTCGCACTTGTCACCGAAGAGCTTACCATCAGTTTCCCCTTTGTGGAAGACTCCTCCACCTCCGGTACTGCTCCTTGGATACCCTTTTCGTTCTACCCCATGATCCGTTTCTACTCTCTAGCTCCTACAGAGAGGATTAGCAATAGGTTGACTGAAATATCAGTCGATCCACTGCTGATCCTCTCAGTAATATGACAATGAGTCAATGGAAGGCAAGAAGCTCGGGTCAGTTGGGTTGCTTTGGACGGGAGTTGTTTTAATGGTTAACCACCCTGTAAGTCGAACAAAGTGATAGTGTTCAAAATAAACAAAATTCCTACTCGAACACATAAGGAAGATTAGCCACTTGCGATTCTTCAAAGTTCACATTAGACGTTTTCGTATGCCACACGAGTATCTCCTGTTGCCCTTTCTTGAAATCGAAAATGTTGAATTATCGTCACTAGAAACGCTCCCTGAATGTAGGTTTTACCTCGCCCTCGTCACCGAACACTTCTATATCCTCCATAGTCAAACCAAGATCCTCGAGAAGGCACGTTTCTGGCCCTAATCCTGGATTGCACTGCTTTCCAATGATAGCTGTCGAGCTTAAAAGTGAGATCTAAAGTGTTTGACAGAATTCCCCTTTAAAAATCGTTTGGTTCCTTAAAAAAGGCGGTCTTCACTAGAGTTGAACTTGCACTATTTCCTATCCTGCATAGAACTTTGTAGTGTAGGATATGTGGCGCGTTATCACCCACGTACCGGTCCGAGTTCGGATCCTGTATCGTTATCCGTCTGGACCCAAAGTACGTTAAAGGCACAGTTCACGATAATTCAATGGGTGGGGACGTCAATGGCCTTCCCGCCTCTCCATCGATGTCACGTCAGACGTCAGAGACGAGTGTCGAGACAATACAAATTGCAAATTTTCGTTCTAGGACCCACACACAATCAGCTGTCGCCGAGTGATGAGGCAATGTTAATTTCCTACTCCTAGAGAATGAAAAATGTGAGCTAATTTTGCTGTTACTAGGGTTTTTTGTTTACTTATGCTTAGAAGCGTATGAATTTTCGCTTACCATTGCCTTTTATTCGCACCGGGACCCACACGTACGCAGTGAGACACATTGTATATGTCGTCCAAACGCCCCACTCTTCTTCATTTTTCTGAACTCATTCTCGTCCAGCCCCCCTGTTTAACGGTTTTTTCGAAACCTTTTTTCACAACGACTCACTGGAAACACCGACTCAGCAGTTTCGCACTTTCGACGCACTATTTTCGATCTTGTCGTCCATTTTTTCATCATAATCTGGACTACCCAGAATTATCGTGAACTGTGCCTTTAAATGATACTAGACTGGTCTGAGAGAATAGATCTGACTACGGATGATTACAGCAGTTCATTGTATTGGCCACATACGCATTCAAACCTCCGCTACGATTCTGACTGAACGTCGATTGCGAGGCAATACCAGAGTATTGAAAAATGAGAAGAAAACGCGTAAATAGGTTGATGTGAAATGTTGCTCATACCTAAGAATGATGTCCAAGTGAACGGCGAAGCCGGCCATGTCCACTGCGAATGTTCGGTTTCTTGCTTTCCAAGCATGATAACCTATCACTATTCCATTTACTGCGATTGGAAATTCCACTGGTAAACCTCCGGCCAAACCTGATATTCAACAAGCAGATTTTCATAAACAAATAATGACCTAGAAATCTAACAACACTTGCCCACCTACTGCCCACATTCCCAATTTTTTCACATTTCGTACGTAATCCGTAAATACGCGTATGTCGTATGCATTGTCATCATCAACAAAATAAACAATACCAGAAAGGTAATTCTCTAGCAATCGGGCAGAGTTATTCCGTACATACTCCAGAGCCACTGATCGCTGAAACCATCCCTTCCCTGAAAAATTTTTGAAGAAATTTTGAAGGAAGGGAGAACTCTATTCCTTATTGGGGTTATCATCCTTGTATTGATTCGTCATTTTATTCTGATTGAGCTTGATCGAATCGATTGTGAAGGAATTTATCAGGACTAGAAAATGAACATAAATCGAAGAGTTTGCAAACTCTTAGCTTGCCTGGATAGCCATCTGGTGTTGGCGACTTTATATAGGTGAAAGGTTTTGTGGACCGGCGTAAAATCGCTTCAACGTAGGGCACTGTATTGTTTCCATCCTCGATAACAATCCAGTATAGATGTGGAATCAAATGAAGGGTGTTCGCCAGCCTGAAATCAACAATCCGTCAACTTTCACGACCGTTATCTGACCATACAGTAATTCACTGCCAACACCTCCTGCATACGGGCTTACTAGGCGGGTGTGTGTCAAGTCGTGCGACCGAGGGGGCGCGCGGCGAAGTTCGTGGTGAACTTGGTCGACTCCGGCGCCTATCTTCGGGGCTCAAATCTGAAGCAGGGTAGATTAGTAAGGTTGGCTGATCCTACTATTCTACTGTACTTCAAAATTGGGCCCAAGTAGTAGGCGCTGAGGTCGTCAGAATAGGTATGAATTTCGCCGCGCCATTTGCCGCGCGCACCCTCGGACGCACGACTTGACCGTCCCCCTTACTAGGCATACTCTTAGTATGTGTTATCCGGCTCCTGTCGAGTGTAAGTGGAAAGCGCGTATTTCCGCTTTCCGTAGTGAGATAGACCTGCGACTGTGGAGGAATTTCGAGGAAATAAAGCGTCTGTCTCACCTTGTCATGTCTGCAAATCGTGTAGGCCTTCTGTATGAAGGCGTTATCGCGATTATCAAAGGCTCCGAGAATTTGCCGTATTCCCTCAACTTCTTTTCCATTTGGCAGAGCCAACTAAACTAGAATATTCAGATGGAGTAGATAGTAAGTGTTTTAGACTTTAT